GTGCGTTTGGTATTGTATCTAAGAAATCATTGTCTAATCCAAGGTCATAAAGATTCACCCCCATGTTTTCTTCTAAGAGTTTTATAGTTTTGGCTCTTATATTTAGGTCTTTGATCCATTTTGACTTAATTTTTGTATATTGCAAGAGGTAGGGGTCCAATTTAATTCTTTTGCATGTCAAAATCCATTTGTCTCAACACCGTTTGTTGAAAAGACTATTCTTCCCCATTGATTGGTCAGCCTTGACACCTTGTCAAAAATCAATCGACCATAGACGTATGGATTTATTTGTGTACTCTCAGTCCTGTTCCGTTGGTCTGTATGTCTGTCCTTACAGTATCACACTGTTTAGATTATTGTTGCCATGTATTAGGTTTTGAAATTGAAAAGTGTGAGCCCTTCAACTTGGTTCTTTTTCAAGATTGTTTTGGCTATTCTGGGTCCCTTGAATTCCATATGAACTTCAGGATCAGCTTATCAATATCTATAAAAAAGCAAGCTGGGATTCTGGTAGGGATTACATTGAATCTGTAGATCAGTTTGGGAGGGATTGCCATCTTAACACTATTAAGTCTTCCAATCCATGAATATGGACTGCCTTTCCATTTATTTAGATCTTCTTTTAATTTCTTTCAACAATGTTTTGTAGTTTTTAGAGTATAAGCTTTGTTCATTTGTGAAATGTATTCCTAAGTGTTTTTTTTTTTGATGCTATTATAAATGGAATTGTCTTCTTAATTTCATTTTCACATTGTTTTTTGCTGCTGACTGTATAGAAATACAGTTGATTTTTGTATTTTGATCTTGTATGCTGCAACCTTGCTGTACTCATTGATTAGTTCTCATTTTTTTTTTTAGTGGATTTTATAGTATTTTCTACATATAAGATCATGTCATTTGCACATACATGTAGTTTTACTTCTTCCTTTGCAATCTGGATGCTTTTGCTTCTTTTCTTGTCAGTAATTGCCCTGGCTAGAACCTCCAGTACAATGTTGAGTAGAAGTGTCAAGAGTGGATGTTCTTGTCTTGTTCCCAATCTTAGAGGGGATGCATGGCCTTTCATCATTAAGTGTGATGCTAGCTGTGGGTTTTTCTTAGATACCTGTTATCAAGGGGAGGAAATT